AGATCTTCAAGAATTTCGGTCAGGGTAACCTCGGATTATGAGTACTTCCGGGGTTACCAGATTTGACCTTTACAACGATCAATTTGACATTACTGTAAAGTACCCTGAAAATAAAAAATCCCGATTACCCCACCCTCCAACCGATTACTTTTTTTATTAATAATGTAGATCATTTATATATAATGTGTCAAATTATATTATAATCCCGCCTCAATAAATAGTTAGACCTTTAAATTTTGGGGTACAACCAAATTAGCCGTAATGTGAACTTTAGTTTTATGCCAAAGTAGCATTTTATATCGTAGTAAATTTTATAATAATTTTATTTGGTTTTGTTACAATAAATACTATGATAGTTATCTTATTTGAAGACGAATTGAATTATCAATTAAGATTCTCTTTGCTATCAAATAAAAATTATATCGAAACCAAAGGTTCTTTGCAGTGTGAAAGTTATATTTAGGTTGAAAATAAATAAAGCTGATGGCTAAAATTCTAGGCAGAATGTTTAAGTGAATAAAGTACCAATAATTTGACAGTCAATGTTTAATAAAAAAAACTAATAATAATAATGAAAATTTGATATTCCTTTTTCGTACTTTTTATAAGAAATTCTACTGGTTTCAAATTAACGTTAACTCGTGCGCCTGAATTTAACATACCGTGTAACATAATACTATAAATATGGGGAAATTTTCGATAATGCATAAACGCATTCTTTTCTTGCGTCAAAATGTCGACTAAAGAAGGATTGAAAATTTTTTACAATAACCGAATTGTGGAGCAACCAGAAAAAAATGACAGTTCATCAAATAATAATAATAAGTCACAGGATTTTCTTGGTGAAATTGTTAAGGAATTGTGTAATCTGTATAATGAAGAAAGATCCAAAGGCAAAATTTCTAAATCAATTCTTGACTTATTGGAGAAATTTATAGAAAAAAAGAATCAAAATCCAGATAATATTATCAATTGGTGCTTGAATGATAAAATAAATCCTACGGTTCAAATCATTCTTGGACATTGTTATTGTTATGGCAAATGGGTTGGAAAGGATGAAAATAAGGCATTCGTTTACTATCGAAGAGCTGCGGATATGGGTGATGCTATTGGGACGAATAGTATCGGTTATTGTTATGACGAAGGAATTGGAGTTGAAAAGGATAAACATAAGGCATTTATTTATTATCAAAAATCTGCTGATATGGGTGATTCTAGTGGAATGTATAATGTTGGTCATTGTTATGAAAAAGGAAGCGGTGTTGAAAAGGATGAACGTAAGGCATTTATTTATTATCAAAAATCTGCTGATATGGGTGATGCTAGTGGAACGTATAATGTTGGTTATTGTTATCAAAATGGAATTGGAGTTGAAAAGGATGAAAATAAGGCATTTATTTATTATCAAAAATCTGCTGATATGGGTCATGCTAGTGAAACGTATAGTGTTGGTTATTGTTATCAAAATGGAATTGGAGTTGAAAAGGATGAACATAAGGCATTTATTTATTATCAAAAATCTGCTGATATGGGTAATGCTAGTGGAATATTCGCACTTGGTGTCTGTTATGAAAAAGGAATTGGAGTTGAAAAGGATGAACATAAGGCATTTATTTATTATCAAATATCTGCTGATATGGGTTATACTAGTGGAATATATAATGTTGGTTGTTGTTATCGAAATGGAATTGGAGTTGAAAAGGATGAACATAAAGCGTTCATTTATTATCAAAAATCAGCAGATATGGGTAATGCTGGTGGAATATCTGCAGTTGGTTTTTGTTATCGAAACGGAGATGGAATAAAGATGGATATTCAAAAAGCTAATCACTGGTTTCGAATGTAAATAACTTTATTTTTTTTAATTTTTAATATTTTTATTAACATGATTTAATATTCTAGGGAAAGAACTAAATATATAGAAACGATTAAAACATCGTATGCAAATTATGAAATTAACGATAATATTAAAGAAATATTAGATAATGAAAAGTATCAATTATTATGGATTCCATATGACGAATTTAAGAACGTTAAAGAAATTGGAAAAGGAGGATTTGCAACAGTATATTATGCAGAATGGAGGAGACAAACTAAAAATTATATACAAATTGAAATATTTGCGCTTAAAAAAATATACGATCAGGATATTCAGGAATTTTTAAATGAGGTATTTTTGTTAATAAGATAAATTAACCAGAGGTGATCATACAAAGTTAATCTTTTGATTCTCATAACATAAAATTTTAAAAGTAAACCATCAGACCGGATAAAATTTTTTAACCTTTACAAAAAAAAAATTCACATACCCGAGTTATGATAATTAATTTTTTTTAAAAAAGTCACTTACTCGAATTATGAGAACCCAAAAATCAACTTAGTAGGATTTGTTTAGTGTTTAGAGATGTGTTGGCAATTTTACTGGCCAAAAGAATTATATTGACCGGGTCAAGGACGATTACGGTAGTAATTTAATCATTTGAAGAATTTTTTCTCCAATATGGCCAAAGTTAAAATTGTCATCACTGGTATACAATATAGTTTATATTAAAATTTGTTTACACCTGATCCTACAAATTATTTATTAATTCGAGGATAATGATCACTACTAGTTGTATTTAAAAATATTCATTGTCTATTAATATAAGTTATCTTTTTTTTAAAAAAAAAGTTGAAGGCGTATTGCGAGATTGGATACGAAAATCCTTCATTTTTAAAATGTTATGGTATATCAAGAGATGAAACGGGGAAATATATTCTCGTTTTAAAATATGCAAAGATGGGTTCCTTAAAACAAAATCTTCATTCAGTAGTGAAAATGGAATGGAAAGATAAATTAAAACTATTGTATTGCATAACTTCCGATCTTGTAACGATTCATTCACAAGGGCTCATTCATCGAGATTTACATACAGGTAATATTCTACAAGGTGATATACGTACCGCGTATATCTCGGATTTAGGGCTTTCTAAAATTAGTAAAAATTTTGGAGTTGAATCTTATATTGCTCCTGAAATTTCAAGAGGTGAAAAATTTACACCGGCTGCTGATATTTATAGTTTTGGTGTAATTATGACAGAGATTGCAATTGGAAAAAAAGCTTTTGATGAGACTAAATTTGTTCCAGATTGTTACATTAAATTAGCAAAGAGGTGCACAGATCTAAACCCTAAAAAACGACCTACTGCAAAATCTATTAATAATCAAGTCGGATTTTGGTATGAAGAAATATTAAGTTCAGATGATGAAAATGAAATCAAAAAGCAATTTTTGGAAGCAGATAAAATATTTAAATCTTTACAAATATTAAACGTTAAAATTCCTGACGAGATTGATAGTGGCTTACATATCAGTGATAATGAAATTCTGAATTCAAATACTTATAGATATATAAATCTTATATATCCAGTTCCAGATTTTAATTGAAAGAACGCATTTTTTATCAAATCATTTGTGGTTATAATTTATGACTTTTTTTTTATATGAGGGTTTTAATATAATCAAGATTTTAAATTTATTTTCTGACTCTAAAACATTTTTATTGATTTTTTTTAAAGGTTTTAGATATCTGTTTTTTATATACTTTAATTGTTAATGTATAGAATTAAACATCGAATTTTATTGAATAATCTTAAAGACAAACTTGAACGCGCAAGAATTGCAAAATATCTTTTGAACGAATCCTTTCCATACAATTTACTTTTCTACAACTTTGTTATTAATGATTAGGATAAAGAAGATATAGCAATTGTATACTAATCAATTACGGCATAACGTAACTGTATTACAACTGCATTACAGCACATATCTGATATGGGCTATTTTAAATAAATTTTTTATTCCAAAGTTTCTTTTAAAATTTTATAATAGCTTTAAATTTATATAGATACTGTATGAACCTCGAAAAATTTTTTACAAAGTCAAATTCCTTGGTTTCATTTTGAGGGCCCATATACGCTGATTATTGTACCGTAACTTTCTTTTGGTATAAATTTATAATAGATAAATAGTTATAATTTAGTTACGACCACGTCATGTTCTGATCTGTTGAGTATCTCTAGTTTAGATATTTAAGGACAAAGTATAATGTTAACATTCATACTTTATTTCGAGATCAGGGACATCCCTTTTCATCAAAGGTTTAATAGTCTCCCTCATATACATTACAATCATTACTTGAATAAACATTTATTTCACCGACAATCATTTCATCGACACCGACATCACACCAAGTGACAATTTACTAAAAATATATACCTGAAACTAATAAAACCCTAACCCTAACCCCATGTGATGTCGGCTAAATGAACTTTCGGTGAAATGAGTGTCGGTGAAATAAGTGCCACCCTTGGTTAGTTTATTCAATTTGCGACTAATTAAAATTTTGCTTCTGATCTATTGATTGAAGTACTCTAAATTGATTACGATAATCGGGAATATAATTTAAAATTACTGTTACACATGATTGTACCGGTCCTGCGCGGCATCGCATGTCGCGCAGCTATCCTAATTTAGTATATGAGATTAATACGTATTTACATAAATATTTTCTATAAACTAATAGAAGAACTTGAACAAGCAACTAAAGCCAACTGATAGAGTCTCACTTACTAACTTGAACTTGTCTAATAATTCGGTGATAAATAATAATTATCGAAATAACAATCATAAAAAAATTTAATTGTCAAATTAAATAAAGAAATTAAACAACTGATCCTTTTTTTTTATTCATTGATAGTATTAATCTAGAAATTTTATTGAATCTACATTACGTATGTGGCAAAATAAGGCCAAACAACCAAGCGATGGTAAAGATATGGATTAATTATGCATTTTATCGCACTGTAAATATAGCTTATAGATATATTTTAAAAAACCTTCAATCTAAAAACCCAATAACAAAAATCTAGTTATAACAGATCTTTTTTTTTAAAAAAAAAGATCTACTCACAAAAATTAATGCTAGAGGATTCAACGTTAAAATCATATAAAAGTAAGGAGTGATTATGAATAATCAAAAAAGGAGATGACATGGAGTATTAAATTCATAAAATTAAAATTAAAATCAGACAATTTTATTTTATTTTTCCGATTTATAACATAGTAAAAATACTATTTAAAAAATCCTACTTAATTTTAAAATGCGCTACCTATTTATTAACTTTGAAACTTCCTATTATACTGTATGTAGTTTTAAATTATAGTAAGTGCATTCAAAACTTAAATTGAAAATAACAATATACTATTTTCTTAATTTTGAAATCCCCTATTATACAGGTTTGAAGTATCATGCTTTTTACGCAATTATTTTAGATCACAATTTGTATACATATTGTTTCTACCAAAAAGGCAGAAAAGAAAAATAACACTTAAATATACAAATATTTTGCACCCGTAATAGTGAACATTTCACATCATGCGACAGGAGTAAGACATTTAATCAGGGCATAGCGATAGGTAAATTATTATTTACATTATGCATTGATGCATCTATCTTGATTGGATCGATCGGATTGAGTGTAACATAAAGAAAAAAAAACTGATCCTAACTAAAAATTTTTTTGCATATAACAGATAATCTCTATATTTTCCTGCAAATCTGATGAAATATAAATGTGTACAAAATGTTCGATGCATTATTTACCGTAAATTTCCTACAAATACATAATTATCATTCAGTTAATATTTTATCAGCATGTAATACATAAAATTATTTCCCTACCTACTGTAACACCAAGGAAAACCTCCGATTTTTAAATTATATAATTTACCAGGTTCAAATATCAGAATTTTTCAATGATTTGGTTCATAAAAGTCCGAAAACTTGTTTTCCTTGGCGACATTCATATTATGTAAAAATTTGTGATTAATAATTGCAGTACGAAAATAATTAAATATGAATAATTACATTATATTGTTGAAGAATCAGATTATTCGTGTTATAATTATTTATAATTTCAGAATAAATTACGTAATAAATTTATTATAATAGAGAGCGCATCCATAATTATTTATTTACGTATTACACTTTTATTAAATTGTATTACAACTCAATTCCTTATTCGTAATTTTATTAAAATAAATCTCCTAGATCAACTTTATCTTGGCTTTATTCATTGTAAAAACCCTTAAAATTTTGGTAATATTTGTTTTAATGAAAATTTACAAATAAAAATCTAGAACAAGTAAATACTTATACAAATATAGTATGAACAAATACTCAGATAATGTACACACGTAATTACAATGTATACATTAGCCATTTCCTAATTGGGAATTTTTTTTCGAATACAATAATATACGGCAACATACTTATACTTTTACAGAAAACGAATAAAAAGTTGTCAATCATAAAAAAAAAAAATTTGGTTTATTAAGAATGGGAAATCATAATAGTAAAATAAAAAAGAACAATCCTAATATTAATAATTATATCGAATTATCAAATCAAAGTACTTCTAATAAATTTCATTTTGAAAATGGTAGAAGATTTCATAATGTAGAAGATTCAACATATTTTTTACCAAATGATGATGAAGAATGTGATAGATTACATTTTCAACATTTCTTAGAAAGATATGTTTGGCAAAATAACTTTTCCGCACCTGTTAAAGATCTTCTTAACCAGAAAGGAGCAATGGTTCTCGATGTAGGGTGAGTCACTTTTTAATTATATTCATAATTTTAATTTTAATTATGATAAATAATAATTATTATTATAATTATTATTATTGTTATTATTGTTATTATTGTTATTGTTATTATTGTTATTGTTATTATTATTTTTAATAATTACTTTAGAACAGGCGCAGGTTCTTGGTTATTCGAAATGGCAACTAATTTTCCCAAAGCACATTATATTGGAATAGATATATCACCAGTTCAACCAGGTTATATTAAACCTAAAAATGTTAGATTTATTGAAGCAAATGTATTAGAAACTTTACCATTTGATAATAATAAATTCGATTATATATTTCAACGAATATTATATGTCGGAATTCCTGGTAATAAATGGTCATCAGTGATTAATGAACTAGTCCGTGTATTAAAACCTGACGGTTATTTGGAGGTTTAACTTTATTTATATATTAAAATATATATTAATTAAATTTATTTAAAAAGTTGGTTAATTTTTAATTTTTTTAGTTGGCGGAAAATGACTTTCAATATAGTATTATGGGACCCGCAACAACAAAACTTACTAATGGCAGTAAGGATCATATTATTTAATTTTATCAAAATGTTCTGCATAAATTTATTTTTTTTATTTTTTATTTTTTAGTATTAATTATGTTTGAGGAGCGTGGTTTAGACCCGAAAATATGTTACAAGTTACAAGGCTTGCTTGAAAATAATGAACAACTTCATAAAGTTCATTATGAAATAAAGACAAAATGTGATAGTGAAAATTGTGATAAGTTATGCAAGTTGGTAACGTACAAGAAATTTTTAATATAATTAATATTTGACTTATACATATATTTATTAGTAAAAATTGATCTTTTTTTTTTTTTTATTTAGTCTGCTGAAAATTATATTACTGCCCTTGCAACTATGAAACCCAAACTTATGACTACAATTGATGTTTCTAGTAATGAATATGATGATTTAGTTAAAACCATGGAAAAAGAGCTAATAGAATTAGAATCTTTTACTCCTCGAGTGCGTGTTTATGCTCAAAAGAAATTTATCAGTGGATGATTAAAAATAAGATGAAAATAACATTGTTAAAATTAATTACATTATTTAAAAAATAGTTATATTAATATTATTTAATTATAAATATCAGATATGGAAGTAATAGCATTTCATTCATGCTCTATTTCTGGAAATAATTTACAACTTACTTAATCATATAGCAACATTTAGAATTTCTTTATAGTCATTGACTCTCTTCATATGATTTATAAAAATTTATTACGAGTTACAGTCAAATTCATTTCATTATTTAGCGTTATGTCCAGAAAGTACTGGAGGACTCGAATAAGTGATCCAACTATAGTATGAATAAACTTAACAAAAACGCAACTTTGTATTTGTAACACTTACGTATCTTTAATAATTTCTGATAGAATCAGGGAAATTAGTAAATTAAATTAAGGTTTTTATGACAATATATGCACCAAATTAAAACTTTTTTTTTTTTTATTTAGTTTAATTACAATTTTAATAAATTTAAGATAAGTTTTGTAAATTTTGTATAAAAATACTAAATTATAAACTTTTAAATATTTTTCAAATCATTACTATTTATAAAGGGGAAAAGTTAATTATTGATAAAATTCGATTACCAATCCATCATTAATAACCATATAATAATTTACATTATGTAAAAAAAAAAAAAAAAAAAACTAAACGATAATGTACAAGAAATAAAATTAAAAATAAACTTGAATATTATCAGTTACCCTTAAGGTATTTAGTGAAAGGTGTGGCATTAGAATCATTTCTATTTAAAGATCCGAGGCTCCAATTGTCCTCGACAGTCCTTAAATAAGAATAATGAGTATAATGAGTTGTATCATCATGATTATTACCATCAGTTTTGACAGGAGTGCCAAACATGGCAGAATAAATATGATTCATGGTATCATTAGGATTTTCTGATTCATCAAATGTAATAAAAAATAATGTATTATTAGTAAACGCAGGTTTTGAAAGTTTAGGTTCAAGCCATCCTTTAAACCACGTTGATGCAAAAGTGGTATTTGTATCATGAGCATCATTGTCCAAATTTGGAGTGTAATAAACCAACTGAGGGACACTATTACTTTCAATATCATTGTCCAGTCGTGTACTATTAACTATTTTAGCACATCGAGTCGTATTTTGGCTAACTGAAGTAAAAAATAGAAATGGGACATGCTTCCTAGCATATCTCTGTTTCCAGCCACCTGTCGCATTCAAGAAACAATTTTCGGCTAATTTTTTTAAAAATGATAAAAGGGTTTAGTATAGTGAAAAGAATATGAAATATTACTTATATATTAAGACTTACGATAGTTCTCCGCGTATGCTTTCCATGAAATACCTTTATCTTCAAGAAGGTCCACGAGATTTGTGTCCCCCAAATCATAATTATTATCATCAAGAATTCCGAAAGTGGATCCCGAAATTTGAGCAATGTAATTTGGCTATAAGAAAGGAAGTAATTCATTAAGTTTACAGAACATTAATTAATAATCATAAAGTGAGGCTGAATAATTTACCAACGAAGGGTGAGCCACTGCATTAAAGTTTGAAAAAAGAACACCATCGGATTGCGTCGTGAGACTCTTAAAATAAGGATCGGCAATAGCAGTAGAATAATTGGTATTTTCAAAAATGATTAATACTATCCTATCAAACCACTTTCCTTTCACATCAGCAGCAGATACAATAACAGCACTGTTAATGAAGAGGATAACAAATAATAACTTTGCAAACATTTTTAGTTTTTTGTTTTGGGGATTGAAGATTTAAAGATTTTAAGTTTTTTTTTTTTTTTTTGGGATTGAGGATTTAAAGATTTTAATTTCTTAAAGATATTAAAAGATCAATTCAAATATTGAATAAAAAATATTAGCACACTAGGGATATTTATATAAACATGTTTGGAAATTTAAATATCCAAAAAAGATCCTAAAATATCGAATAATTTTAGCACGTTTTCAAGAATTATTTATCATTATTAATAAATTCGGAAATTTTTAATTTCTTAAAAATATATTTAAAATTCAAAGATGATAATTTTCATATATTGGGGGAGTCAACAGAATCACGTTTTTTTGAAAAATTAGATTTTATATTTAAAAGATAGAAAGATTATTTGGTATTTAATTGACCTTCCCCAATATAGTAGGATAAAGATTTTGGCGTACATTATTAAAGTTATGAAATATTGTAAATATTATACATATTTAGTATTATTATATTTATTTTAGGTACGTACGATCAACGAACTCTAAAAAATGAATTTTATTTATAGTTATATATATTTTTTAGGACAACTCAATTACAAATTATATTCATTTGTCAGAATTATTCGTTACACGAGAGAATTTCTTTGATTATAACTACTTTTGGGAGTAGCACAATTCAGTATTTGAGGAAATATAAAAAGAGTTTGCATAACAAATGATATACACGTATCGGTAAGGTGTTAAATGCACTATCGCTATGTAAATCAAATTTATGCTAGTAACAATAACTAATGAAATTTTTTCGTATGACATTCAAATAAAATACTATTGCAATAGTATAACTTCGATAAAACTTAAAGGGTAGTCCGCAGTTAAAGGGTATAAATTTCATAGTAAAAATCGGCGGGCACTTAATAATTGTCTTATATAGTAAGTGGAACGCGAAAAGTTTTTTGCAATAGTAAAAATCGTATAGTAAAAAAAATAAAATAAAAATACGGATGTTCTATAGAATAGGTGGGCAACATAAGAAATAAGCTTCGCTAATGATTAGTAATCATTAATTTTTTAATATATTCAGCGGAATTTAGCGGAGTTTGCCCACCTATTCTATAGAACATCCGAAAAGGATAATATCTCGGGATCTACTGAACAGATTTTGATAATCTTATTAGCATTAGAATCAGAAAACATAGTTCTATAACTTTTATTAAAAGCCAAAAGAAGGGTAACTTGATAAAAAAAAATACTTTTATATGTAAACTAGCCATATTCCTGTACTATAGAAAGTTTATAATAAATTCCGATTTTATTATATGATTTGTTATTTTTTTAACGATTTACCCCTTCTTAATAAATCATTTTATTATTTTTCAGATTATGAAAAAAAGCTCTCTATTACATTAAAATATGCAGTCTACTATACTTTTGTGAGAAACTTCCAAATAGATTAATATATTGAATGTTGAGATATATGGCAATTTTCTACTAAAAATTTGCAAACTTCAAATTGTATCTCCTTGATATTCTACATATTAAACTGTTTAGAAATTTTACATGAAAGTATAATAGATAATATATATTAATAAAATAAGGAGCTTTTTTTTATAACCCAAAAAATAATTCAAATTATACTATTGCCGCAGTATTTTTATTATTAACGTGAATGTAATATCCACTATGCTTTCACGCGAAATTTCTAAACAGTCGGGATTTTTGCTAGGAAAATCACCCTTCGGAGTTTTCCGAACGGGTCAATACGGAAAGAATTAGACCAAAATACCTGTTTTTATTTATATGTATGTCGTCTTTTACCTTTATCGATGCAATATTTTATTTAATAAACTATTATATCGACAAGGTAAAAGATGATTTGCATATAAATAAGAACTGATGTTCTGGTCTAAGTCTTTCCGAATTGGCCTGTTCGGAAAATCCCGAAGGGTGATTTTCCTAGCAAAGATCCCAGTTAATACGTAGAATATCAAGGAGATACAATTTGAAATTTGTAATTTTTTTGTAGAAAATTGTCATATTTCTCAACATTCAATATATTAATCTATTTGGAAGTTTCGCATGAAAGCATAGTGGACTGCATATTTTAATAATAATAGAGAGCTTTTTTTTCATAATTTGTTAAATAATAAAATGATTTATTTAACAAATCATATAATAAAATCGGGAATTTACATGTATTATATGACTAGTTTACATATAAAAGTATTTTTTTATCAAGTTAACTTTCTTTTGGCTTTTAATAAAAGTTGTAGAACTATGTTTTTTTAATGCTAATAAGATCTTCAAAATCTGTTCAGTAGATCCCGAGATACGGTGCCGCTCACTTCACCGACAGTCATTTCACCGAAAGTTCATTTAGCCGACATCACATGGGGTTAGGTTTAGGGT